GGCGCGGCCGCGGCGCGGGGCCCATTAGCGGATCAATTAGCCGAGGTCGCTGGCGGCGCGGTCGTTAAGCGCGGGGAGGCCGCGGCTGGAGGCGGGGGAGGAAGGCGGTTCTGGGGACCACGTCGCCGCGGCGACCGCGCACCCGGGACCCTCCCTCATCCCGGCCACCTGGGGCTCCCGACCCTCCCTAAAACTTGGGGGGGAACCCAGCCCCCCGGCAGGATGGGGGTCACCAGAGCCCAGGGGAAGACCCCAGGTCACAGACCTGTCAGTGGTTGGGGGAGACAGACCTCCCCTTCGTAGGAGAACCCCGTCGTAGGAGACCCCAGAGTAGGGAGTGACACCCCTCAACACACACGTCCTCTGCCAGGAGCCTCATACTAACCCTTGGGCATAGCTAGTGAGCTCCCAGGCTTTCTGCCATTCTCACTGCGATTCCCCCACGTGAAAATCCCATGGGTGACTTCAGTGGCCTCAGATCACTCCTCAGGGTCAGGGGCTGGCCCAAACCGGGCCTGCTGCATCACATTCACGTTGAGGTGGCTCAGAGCGCCCCCACACTGGCTCCCGTGTAGCTGCTGGCACGTTCCGCCCACCCCAGAAAACAGGGGTGTGTGTCAGTTTTGTCTCCTGCTGTTCCTCGGGGCTCACAGTAGTATCTCAGTGAATGAAGAGCCAGATTCTCTCCACAGATTAAATCATAGGTTGGGTCTGTGATAGACCCACTTCACAGAAAGGGAAACCAGAACCCAGAGCCCGCGGCACCTAGCTCGCCCACCGGCCCTGCTTCCACTCAAACTGGGGACCCCGTGCCTGGAATCCCAGCGGCCACTGATAACACCTGCTGTGCTTCGTGCAAACAGGGTGGGGACAGGGACACCACAGGACCCTGCTTTGGGGGGGTCAGGGAGGGCTTCAGAAAAGTAGAATGTCTTGGGAATCCGAGAGGATGAGTGTTGCGAGGGAGGGACACAGGACACTGTTCCGGCAGAGGGAAGGACAGTGCAAAGGGCTCACACGAGAAACCGCACAGTGCGCCCTGCAGGGGAGGCCAGCAGGACCTGCCCGGCCAGGTAGGCTAGGTGAGGTGTGCTCAGCGTGCTTCGGGCCAGGCCGCGGAAGGGAGAAGCTGTTCTTTCGCCATTGCTTTAATTGTGAAATGCAGCACAGGCGCATCCACTGCAAGCGAGGGTCCTTGAGTCACTCCATGGGAACATGGGCGCCCTCAGCCCAGCCGCTGAGCTGAGAGACAGCCCTTTGGCCCCACCCCGCCCCCAAGGTGGCCCACAGGTCAGCTGAGCTGTTTAGCTCTTTACATCCCTGGGATCAGTGAGTGCGTCCTCGCTGATTCACCTCAGTCACAGTCCCTGGGCCAGGGAGGGTTAGCTGTTCCCCGGTGCGGCTGTCAGTGGGATGATGCAAGCGGAGATGGCACAGCCGCCGCACACCAAGGCTGTGGGCTACGTGGCTGTCATGAGGCAACAGGTGTGAGCGCAGAGGCACGTGGGGAGCACAGCAGCTCGTCCTTTTTTCAGTTCTGCGTCGTATTCCACAACTAGGCCCACAGGCTCGGCTGTCCTTCCCCTGACGACAGCCAGGAGTTCCCACCTCAGGGCAGTGCTGCCTGCCTGCCCTGGCTCTGAACTTGAACACAAATTCTTGTTGGAGGCTTTTGGCACAAGTGGCATGTCAGTTGGGGTACAGCGCCAGCTACCAAACTGCCTTCCCGAAGTAGACGGAACAGCTCGCGCGCCCCGAGCAGCGAAAGCGAGTCTGGGTTTTCCACAGGATGCTTGTCAAGCCGGGGTGAGGGCTGGCCTCACCCCACGGGCCCTTTTCAGAAGTGCTTCAGTTCCGGGGAGGGCAGGGAACCACCCATCAGGAGCCTGGGCTGATCCCCCAATTCTTCCTCCCCCCCCCCCATGCCTTTCCCTTCCATGGGGAGCCAGGTGAGTGTCTCCGACTTCAGAAGTCCTGTGGGTGCCCCCAGCTTCCCAGGGGTGTAGTCTGCCAGGCAGCCCTTGTATAGCCTGGACAACACCCCATTTCCTGGATGAGCAGCCCGAGGCCCTGGCCCAAGCGCCAGAACCCACTGATCTCTTCCTCTGGCTCTCCACAGGATGCTCCAACTTGGGGGCTGGGAGAGGGGCGGGAGGGCTTCAAGCTGCCCCTTGGAGTTGAGAGGGTCTGTGCGCAAAAAAAGGGTCAGTGTGGGGGAGCGCTAGCCTCAACCTCCTCTGAGGGACCAGTCACCTCAGAGACCAACGTGGCTTCAGCAGCCAGCTGTGCCCCGCCAGCGAGCCCCCCTTTGCCCACCCCGACAGTTGGCTGGACCCAGCGGCCTGTGTGGCCTGCAGCCTCTGGTCGCCTGCCCTCTGGACGGCAGGCTGGGGAAACCCCATTTACAAGCTGGACTCACCTAGCACTGGCGTGCCCTGCCCAGAGCAGAGGAGGGGGCTCAGACATGAAGGAAACCCCTCCTCTCCTGGGAAGGGGGGCAGCGCAGGCAGCCCGCGACACAAAGGCAGGAACACAGCAACCAACCTTCTCACATCTTTATTTGAAAGGCACAGCTAAGCCCACCCTCGATACAGCATTTTCCACTTCTCTCTGCAGAGATCAAACGACTGAACACAACAAAAGCTGACAGTCTAAAAGGCTATATACAGACACAGGTGTGGGTGTTGCTTTTTTTTTTTTTAAACATTTCTGTCTCTTTTTAATAACCCCTTTCTTAAAGACAAGCTAGTATACTGGAAAAAGGAAAACAATAAAAACCAAGACAACTTGAGTACCCTCATCTTTATTTGGGGAGGGGATAACGGGGGTTTGGGTTACCCGCCCCCACCCTGCTCACCCCAGCTAAGCTAGTTTCCCTTGGCCCCCCTAGTGGAGGACGGGGTGGGTGTGTGGAACTTGCAGAAGTGAGTAGGTGGAGGGCAGGGGGGTGGGGGGCGCTTGGGGTGCCCAGGGCGGGAAGGGGCAGCTAGCGTTTGTGTTTGCATGCAGTGCCAGGGTGGGAGGCTGGGGCGTGCGCCCTGAAGGGGCCCGGCGGCCGCAGACTGTCAGTTACGCGTGTGCATGGGGAAGTGCAGGAGAATTAAGATTTCTTGAGGCTTCTCGCTCCTTTCTGACTCGGCCTCCCACTGTGCCTCCAGGCCTCAGCTTGCCTCACCTGTGGTACAGGCAGGTGTCCACCCACTCAGGCTGCAGGGGAGGAGGAGGAGGAGGGGGAGTGAGGCCAGGAGTTGGGGGGTGGGAGTCAAGCTAGGGGTGGCACACAAGCAGGGCCCCAGCAGGCGGCTACCATAAATACTACCGGAGTTGAGCCAATCTGAGCTATACTGTGTGTGGCGCTGAACCAGCCTCTCCGTCTGTCTCCCTGTCCCCACCCGCCCGTCCCGGCCGCCGGCTAGTCCGACTTCTCGCCGTCGTCCTCCTGGTGGGTGTCACCGTCGTGCCCGTTCTTGTCTTCCTTGGAGAGGTGGGCCTGGGAGCCCAGCGCAGACAGCGAGAGGAGGCCGGTGCCGGCACTGACCGCGGGCAGCGAAGGCGGCTGCAGCCCCACCGGCAGTGGGGTCAAGGGCAAGGCCAGAGCCTGCAGCTGGGACAGCTGGTGGGCTTGGAGCTGCTGCTGCAGGGCAGAAGAGCGGCATGACAGGCCTCGGGCGTGCCTGCCCACCCACCCGACTGCCCTCCCCAGGGAGTCCCGGGCCCTGCCCCCAGACGTACTCGGATGATGGAGTTCAGCTCTGGAGCAGTGACCTGCTTAGCCCTCTCGATGGCTCCCAAGACCTGCTGCTGGTGCTGAAGAGGGTGGGGTGGAGACAGGGGTCAGCGAGTACCCCGACTGGGTGGGGAGGGCAGCGCGGCGCCAGGGAGGTCCCCTCTCTAGCTTCCCCCTCTGCCTCACCCCCAGAGGACTCCCTTCACCAAGCCTCAGACTCTGCGTCCGGAAAATGCGGACGCGTGAAGATGTGAGGAGACTGGAGGCTGGTGTCAGGTACTTAGGAAAAGGCCCCGTGGGCATGTCGCAGAGGAGACCTAGGTCACGTCCTAGCTCACGCTGTGTGCAGACCAGGGCAGTGCCCAGCCGCCCGCGGCGGTCCCGGGACTAAGGGCGCGACACAGTGTGCATCGAAGCGCCTCTCTTGCACCACTGGGGAAGCCCAGTGAGTTCTGGCTGGGCTAGGGGTGGACGTGTCCAGGTCTGGGGCAGTTCACACCCGCCCCCTCCTCCCTGCATGTCTGTTTTTCTTGCTGGAACCTGCCTATCTCCCTTTTTGCCCTGGCCGCCAGGTAGCCACTGCTCTGCAGGGCCCGGGAGCCCCCTTCTCCGGAGCTTTCTCAGGACCCTTCTGGAGCGGGCTCGGCACCTGTCTGAGCACGCAGATCGCTCAAAGGAGCGGGAGGAAAGGGGTCAAGAGGAAGCGAGGCATTAGCAGCGAACAGGGCCTGGGAGCAGCAGGGGTGAGGTGCAGAGGGTGTCACGCCAAGTCTTAGGGTCCAAGGAAGAAGTGGGTGCCTGGTCCCGAGGGTGTGCGCGTGCCTCTGGCCACGTGTGCCCTCATCTGTGTGTGCACGCGTGTCTGCCTGTGTTAGCCGTATGTCCGCGGTCACACGTCCGTCTGTGCTGCCCGCACGTCTGTGCTCATGCACCCGTGTGGGCCTGACTGTGTGCAGATCTGTGCGTCGTGCACCGAGCGCCCCGCCACCTAACACACCCCTCCTCCCAGCCCAGGAGGGCGGGTCTCAGGAGGGTGAAAGACAGAAGCAGGAAGAAAAGTTTGTGGTGCAGCCCCAGCACATCTGACATTTCTCTTGCCAGTGAAACGACCTCCTGGCTGGGAACTCCACGGCAGGCCAGGCCCCTCCCCACGGACCCCTCTGCTGGGGCTTCTCAGCTCGCTGGGGGTTCTTTCGCACAGGCCCTCTGGTCTCTGGGAGGTGCCAGGTGGCGACAGTGGGGGGACCCTGGAGCAAGTTCGGTGCCTCTCTGTCCACCACCCCCCACGGCCCCAGGGGTGCTGCTCACCTCTTGGGAAAGGTACGGTAGGACCTGGGCACAAATCCCATTCAGCCTCTTGACGATTTCAGCCTGGAACACACAGACACAGACGATGCATTTCGGTCCCAAGCAGGCTGCGGGGCGGGCGGCCCCACCAGGAGGCCCAGGGTCTCTGTCTGTCTAGACGGGGCTCCCGGGCTGGCATGCGTCCTGCGCCGTGACGGCCTATGTCCCCGCCCAGCACTCAGGGCTCGGGAGCTCTGTGCCTGGCTGGCCGTGGATCTCCATGGGAGGGAAGAGGAAGGGGCAGCTGGCAGTCCTGTGACAGCCCTGACACTGGCTGTCATCAGCACGTGGCAAAGTAAGGCCAGAGGCAGGGTGCACAGGTGTGGGCACATGTCACTGTCTCTGAATGTCACAAAGGACAGACCCAGACTAGGGGTGGTAGGTCCCAGGAAGGCCTCTGCCCCTCTTCCTCAGGGCGCACCCCCCCACTCGACCCCCCACCCCCGCCCCACCCCAGGGAGGCCTGCAAAGAACAGACGGGAGGGGGGGCCTGGGAGGTAACAGGGAAACAGGGCTGACTTGGTGCTCAGCCATGGGTAGCTCCATCCTGCCTGGGGGTGCAGGAGAAGAGGAGGCGGCGGGCATACCTGCTTGTGCATCTCAATGTTCAAGCCATAGGACATCTCGTAGTACTGCAGGGGAGGAGACAGAGAGAGAGAGATGTGGGGGAGGGAAACATGGGGGCTCAAGAGACAAATATGGGGGAGTGACAGAAAGATAGCAGGAAGGAGGGATGGAAAGAGGCGAGTTGGGGGGGGGGGTTGAGAGAAAAAGAACACCAGGAGCAGGGTAACTTCAGGGCCCCCGTGACCCTCCCAAACACGTGCACATTCCCAAACTCCTGATCTTTTATCTTTATGTGTCTTGTCTGCGGGTGGCCCCAGACTCCAGGGAAGTTTGCCTTCCTGGGTATAAATAATCCAAGATAAACACAGCCTGCTGGGCCTGGCTCTGGGGCCAGCAGCCCCCACCCCCACGGCCCACATCTGACCCTGCCCCCCCAACTCTAAATCCTTCCTGACCCCCCATCACCCCCAGGAAAAGAGCCAACTTCGCTTCCTTTGTGCGCATGGTTTCCCCTTCTTTTCCCAGCAAGCTCCTATCTCTCATTCAAAACCCCAAGGGTAATTTCCCATCCCTCAGGTGTCTCTCCCCACTCTGGAGTCCCCCAGACCCAGGTCTCTTTCTTAATCCTGGCCCCGCCCCCCCAACTGGGAGGGTCAGGCTCTGGTTCAGTCCTCCACAGCCTGAGAGCCCTGTGGCAGGGGTTTAGACGGGGGTTCAGAGGCAGAAACCACCACCTGGGAGGTATGAAACCCGGGGTGCCTGCTGAGGAGTCATCCTCCCGGGCTAGGGCAGGGAGGGGTTAAGTGCTGGGATGCCAAGAGATCTTGGGGGTGGGGATGGATCCGGCTAGCCCCCCACGCCCCCACACCCGCCAGTTCCTGGCTTTGGCTTTCACAGCGCTGTGCCTCGCTGTGCCTGGCTGCCAAGGACAGACAGCCAGGGGACCTGGCAAGCCCAGGCTGCAGCCCGGTGGTTTGGCACCTCAGCCACTGCCTGGGCCGGCGGCCAGGCCAGCGCGGCAGACTCAGCCTAGCCCCTGGGGCCAGCTGAATGGAGAGTGGACCCTGCATCCTCGCACATGCCTGAGGAAGGAGCTGGGGGTCACTGGCAGAGGAGGGTCTGGCGCGCCCCCACCCCGCCAGCCCCACCGGCCAGCCAGCTCACCATCACGTAATGACGCTGCATTTCTGACTTCTCACTGGCCAGTTTGTCACATTCCAGCTTCAGACTGTAGAAGAATAAGGGGACAGGGTGTGGGGGCTGAGCCTAGGCCCCCCATTTTGCATGGGTGCCCCTAACTAGATGGGGGACAAACATCCTCCTTTTGACGAGGTTCCCAGCCATAAGATGGGATTATGAAACCAGCCTCACAGATCTGATGGAAGAGAAGGCAGCAGATAAAAAAATGAGAGCAAACTCCCCCTTTCCTTATCAGACTGGGATGTGAAGGCCCTTTTACCAGTCCCCACAATGAGGTCAGTACTATTAACGTCATGCTCATGTCACAGATGATGCAAAGGATGCCCAGAGAGGTTGAGTAACTGGCTCAAGGTCACACAGTCAGGAACTGGCTTCTGAGGCCACAACCTCAGCTCCTGGGGACACTGTCCAACAGGAAGGAAGGAAGGAAGAAATAGAAACTGCAAGGCCCTAAGGAGAGCGAAGAGCTGGCTGGTCAGATTCCCGAGGCATCTCCAAGGGTGCCCAGTCCTCTCGTGGGCCTTGACTTCACTAGGGGATAAGTTTCCCCTGTTGGGGAACGGCGCGGGTGATCCCCTTGCCTCTCTCGGGCTCCCCCAAGCAGGGAAGACCTAAGCATTTCCCAAAGCCCCTCCACACTGCTCCAGGTGGGCTGAAAGCTCAGCCCAGGGCTGTGTGACCCGGCAAACACCTTTACCCCTCTGTGCCCAGATTTCTGCATTTGTTTAGAACCAACCACCCAGAGGAGGGTGGAGTAAGAGTGAAATGAATTAAGAATGTTCTTGGATCAACCTTTGGCATACAGTAAGTGCCCATAAATGGTTGTTGATCTTATGGTAACCCTAAGCATCTGAGGTCTCGTTAATGGGCCAACCATGGCTTGGATCCCCCAGTGCAGGTCACCCCAAATTTGTTTTCTTCTATTTTCTTTCAAATGCACATTTGTTGTCATTAAAAATAAATGGACCCAAAAAAACTTTAGGCAATTTTATTTTCCAAACGCTGGATTTTGGAACCTTCTTGGGGGCCTGGTAGAGTAAATGTGTGCCCTCAACACAGAAGGACTCCTCCATGCATAACAGGAAGTCCAGGCCCAAGAGACTGGGGGCTTGAGGGGTCACACAGCCAGTGGCCAGGCAGACCCTGGTCGCAGGCTGCAGCCTCAGGCTCACTCTTGCTAGCCCCGAGGCCAGGCCTGCTGGCAAGTCTCCAAACCCTCCAATCAGGGGACACAGCACAGTTTCAGGGTCCTCGCCCTTGCACGTCTATGCCTCAGTGGACACAGCAACAGGATAGTGAGAGAACGTATGTTCATTAATTTAGCACATGGGATGTAGCCCTAAAAGGCTGGATGTTGGGGGCGGGGGAAGGAATCTACCTAGCTGTGCATCTATTCTTCCCCATCCTTCTCCCAGGAGACCCCGATCCTTCAAAGAACAGCTCTGTGGGGGTAAACTGAACCCGGAGTGAGTCCAAGGTGCCACTGGGCTGTGTGGACAGACCCCTCCTCTGACCCCTAGCAAGGTCCTTCTAGAGCTGTCACTACCACTGAGCATTCCTATTTCCAAGCCAAATATGGTTGGGTGCCAATCTCACTTTTGCCATTTCCTTGCTGTGCATCCCTGAGGAGACCCCTAACCTCTCTGGGCTTAAGTCTCCAAGTGTGAGAAGACAGTAAGGTTGCTTTTTCTCAGATCTCTGCACAAGAGCACGCCAACCCTTTTATGTGTCTGAAAGTTAAATTCTGAGGGGAGGACCACCTTTGAGAATCTTCTGGCTACCAGGAGCCCTCTTCCCCCAAACTAGGCCGAAAGATATATAAGAGGCCAGACAATTTTTTCCTGGGGGGTGGGTGGTGGTTAGGGCGGGTTAGGCCCACACACCAACTCCAGCTGCTGGGAGCTGTTTTGTCCTGGGGGGTGGGGATGGGGAGAGGCTCCCTCTAGGCAAACGACTTAACTTTCTGTGCCTTTCTCCTGTGGGCAATGACTATCCTGGAGCCTTTGAGCGTACAGGACGATCTGCAGAGCGCTCAGGTCAGGCCTGGCATGCAATAGGCCATCTAGCAGTATTATTTCCAGGAGGTTTACAGTAGGGGCCACAGCAGCCTCCCACCTGTGGGGGGGGGCTCCACCTTCTCCCCATGCAGGGATCCACACCCAGCTCACCTGTGATACTGAGCCTGCAACAGCTGAAACTCGTCTTTGATGCGGTCACAGGAATCCGACGTGGTGAATTTGAGTTGCTGGGGTAAGTGCGATGAGCCCTAGGGGAGGGGCGGCCCAAGTCAGGCCCGGGCGGGTCAGCCGCCCACCCCTCCTTTCCTCCCTCAGCCCGGCCAAGGCCCGCCTCAGGCAGCAGCCGGCGCAGCTGCAGCGCCCCCCCACCTCCTGCCCCACTTCCTGGGCCCGTGTTTACAGCCCCTGGCGTGGTCCCCACCCTCGCTTCCTGCCCCCGCCTCTCCGGGGGGAGCCGAGGGGGTGGGTACGCCCTGAGGCTCCGCTCCTCGTCCCCTGCCACCCGGGCTGTGGGGTGCGTTTTAAGGCCCGCCATTGATGGGGGGGCAGGGTGCGCCCTCTACCGCCCCTCCAAAACGCCAGGAGGGGGTGCACAGCACTGGGCCCCAACTGCCGGAGGGAGAGCAGTCCTAGAGAATACCCCTTCCTAACTTGGGGGAGGGAGGCCTCCCATTAAAGTTCCACTGGGGGAGGGGCCTCTCAGCACCCGAAATCCGGGGGGGGCCCCCACCCCAGATTCTCTAAATCCTTCCTCCAGACCGCGCATTTCCGGGAGGGTTTCGCCTTGGGTCTCTCCCCACTTCCAGGCCCCAAAGGCTGCCCAGGAGTTAAGAGGTGCCTAGTGGGGGCTCTCAGGGTGCCCGAGGCCGCGGCCGCTCGAGGCCCAGCCTGGCTCCCTGGCTGGGGCTGTGTAGGGAGCTGGAGGGGATCTGGACTGGGAGCAGGCTAGGCTGGGGGGGGGGGGGCTCCTTATTCGGAAGCTGGGAGAGGGATCTGGAGCTACTTACTGGGGGTGTGGGGGAGCCCGGGAAGCTGGTGAAGGTGGGGGGAAGTAGCACTGGGCCCCAAGCTATAGTGGACCGGGCCAGGAGTTGGGGGGAGGCGTCTAGCAGGG